AAACTGAATTTTGTATTTACTTGCATTATCTTTGTGTAATATTAATTTGTTTGATGATCTGAATCTTTTAAGTGTGACATAGGCAAAAAATTAAAAAAACAGGAAGGGGGCAAAAACCTTTTCACAGCACTGTACATGGTAACTAGGATTTACACAAGCTTCATTCTGGATCCAGAACACCTGAGAAGAGATGATGCCAACCCCTCAGAGGACCGGAGATGATGCCAACCCTGAAACAACATACAGAACTACCACATTTTGCTATAAGTTTGATTGCATCGTATAATGATTGCTGTTAATAGTGTTCATTGTCTGTTTGATTACGTCTTTAATAGATTTTTCCGTACATTTCTGCCATATGTACATTAACTGACAGTTACCACTGATAAGCTACTACTAAATATTATAGACACTTAATTTGCTGTAAAGTTGCTTTGCAACGATTTGTATCGTGAAAAGCGCTGTACAAATCAACTTGAATTGAATTGAGTAAAAAGGAAGCTCACAATAGCTATTCCCTTTAATTTTGGAGCTATTACCACAAATATGTGGCATTTCCTCAGGGCAGAGCTCGTGTTTGGTGACAACAGAAGAAAGTGTCACTGAGCTTTATAATTAACAAAATGTCAGATGTGGACCTGAAAGAAAATGCTATTTTGTCAAGAAAACTGAAATGGAAATTGGAACAAAAACAGAAATTATTTAATGAATCCTCGCTCACAAAAACAGCACAACGCTGATAATAAAATGCACCGGTACGCTTGTAAAACACCTTTGAGTCTGCGACAGATGGACTGTACACACAGCTGTGATTTGCTTCCGTCATAACTGCTGAAACGCATGTGATGTGTGGCCGGTGATCCGTTTTGCAGTGCCACATGAGCAGTCACCGCAACAGTGCTGACAGAACACCCTCCATTCATGACACTGAGGCCGGTCTCATCCATCTCTTACCTTCTCAGACAGAAAGTTTTTATTTGAAAGAACAAGCACAGAAAACCTGTCAAAATGAGCCCATATTTCCTACACGCTCATCTCTTAATGACTCAGATCTGAGATTACTGAATATGCTTGAATATATTTGACCTGGCATTAGAAGGTGCAGTTCCTAGATGAACTAATCATAATTCCCGAATGTCCAGTTATAGTTAAAGAAACGTATATTCATTAATTTATTGTAATAATACTTAACAATATTATTGTTTTACTCTATTTTTTATAAAATAAACATAGCCTTGGTGAGAATGCGAGACTTCTTTTAAAAGAATTATAAAAATCTTATCAATCAATTTTTGAATGGTAGTGTTCGTCTACACTCACTGGATGGAAGTTTTAGATTTATTTTACAATAAAATCAAATAGTTCAAAATACCAAATTGTAAAAGCGCAACCATTTAGTAGTCATTTGTTATCAATGAGAATTGGTGAGTTGAGCAACTACCAGTGAACTAAACAGTTTTGCCATTTCAAGCAAAATAGTTCATTGATGAACATTCCTGCTTGAAAATACATTTAAATAATATTACCTATTACTTTAAATGCACTAATGCCACACAGGCTACTCCCAGGTGGAAGCCAGCAATTATTACAATAGGAAAACTGTGGAAAAGACCCTTCAGCTTAAAATGAAAATACATATCAGTCTGACAGAGTACATGGTGCTAAGATCCCATGAAAAATCCTCATAATTAGGTGCTTAACTTGGCCATGGGTTGTACTCGGGAGGTCAGAACTTACACTGCAATGTGGTTTCCCATACTGAGATGGGCAGGTGCTGCCAGTTCCAACTGGGACTCGTGGACGGAGGACAATGGGGGAGAAGTTTCGGGGGGGGGAATTCAGCTCTACATGGCCTTGGCTCAGGTGCAAGAAACACCGGCCAGAGCCCTTGCTGCACCCCTCACGCCCCTAACAGCTGACACCCTGAAATCATCCAAACTGCAGCAGCGTAAAATCCACTCAGCCCACAGGGACTGCTAACTCAGATCTCCAAGAGCGTGAATCGCTGAAAATCTAACAACAATGGAGACCTCTGAAAAATAATAGATTTAATAATAGTTCGTCCAGCAGGCCTCTACCATTCACACATATGTCCGTTTCACATGGGGTCAGTACGAATTTTTTTTATTTTATTCAGCCAGGATGCATTAAATTGATCAAAAGTGACAGTAAATATTTACAATGTTACAAAATATTTCTATTTCAAATAAATACTGCTCTTTTGAACTTTCAAAGAATCCTGGAAAAAAAGAAAAGAATGTTTTTTACAAAAAAAAAAGCAGCACAGCTGTTTTCAAAATGTATAATAATTATAATGATAAACGTTTCTTGTGCACCAAATCAGCATAATAGAATGATTTCTGAAGGATCATGTGACACTGAAAACTGAAGTAAATCGTTGCTGAAAATTAGCTGTTATCAGAAGAATAAATTACATGTTAAAGTATTATACTATATATTAATAGTATATTAAAGTATTATATTATATAGTATAGCCTACTACTTTATATTAAAATATATTTAATATATATAAAAATCAGCCATGTCAAATTGAAGAGTTCAGATGCAAAAGCCTCCAAGCACGTCTGATGTTCTTCTTTAAAATGAGCATTTCTTTCTGGCTACCATGTATAGGTTTCTATATAAGTACTGGTACTTCTGAATGGGCTGAGGCTGGGATTTAGCGCATTTGAAGTGAAAGTACTTGATGAACATACAGTATACTATGTGTGGAGAGCATTCACTCAGTATGTTATCTCATTTCTGACCAAGATGGATTTTAGAGGCTTCTGCATTGGAACTCTTCAATTGCAATAATATTTCGCAACGTTTACTGTATTTTTGATCAAATAAACGCAGCCTTGGTGAGCATAAGACTAAAAATTGAAAATATTAGAGACCCCAAACTCTGTCTGTGTGTGTGTGTGTGTGTGTGTGTGAAATGTAAAATTATATTCTACGTAAGAGATATATAAACACAAGCATACACACCTACATCCATCCACCCGTGCCAGAATGAAGGAAGAATTCTGAATAACTGGTTTTCACCTGTTAATGTGACGTCGCAATGATTGAGTCACGTGTCTAATCTCATCGTGATAAACCCTGTCAAAGAGCGATGACGTCACTGACATGCAGACTGCCAATAGAACACAAAATAACTCTGATAAAAATAAACAACAACAAAAGAGTGACCACATAAACACGTAGCTAACTCACAAATCATCAAATGTTTTCACCAATGACCGGGATCATCAGTGGCTCTTAATAAGGTACAGTTCAATTAAGATAATCCTCACAAAAGGAATATATTAATCACTAATCAAAGCACTGTTGTGTTGGTTAAATTCACCACAAGCGCCAACAAAATCCAATCTGCCTGTAATGTCTTCAGCTACAGAAAAACTGCTCGAACAGCTGAATCTTCAGGTACATTTACGAATAAAACGCTGGTTTGTAGCTATTCTCTTGTCTAAAACATAACAGTATAATACCGAAAATAACTTGAAATTATTTGATGGTGTATAGATTAAAGCAAACAGCATTTTAGTTTAGAAACCCCTCAGCTACAGCAAAGCGACGAACCGAATCTTACCGTCATAAACTGCTCCAGGGGTGTCCAGTTTTAGAAGTAAATGTTATTTCGTAAGAGACTCAAGGCGGAGAGCCCGCTCAGAGCAACAGCGGCAGCCTCATACTGACCCACTCCAGCCCAGCACACACATTCAACTCAACGGGGCCTCCGGTTCCAATAATCCACACAAACTCAACCCTGTAAACCAGTGAGCGAAGACACTTTACAATCCAGTCAACGGGACTTCTAGGGCGGTGGAAGGGATCTCGCAGGAGAATAAAAATCGGTCACTTCTTAAGCTGTGTCTCCGTTCACAGTGCTGTTACATTGTAGGAGCCGCAGAAGCAGCAGCAGTGCTGAGTGTTACATTGTAACATGGCGCGACAGCTCTCCGCAGCGCCACCAGCGGCCGGGGGTGGAGTCACAACCCGGAGAGGCGGGACATTTACTGACAGACAGACCGGCAGACAGACAGAGTATTATTTTCAGTACTGCTATTAGAAACAACATGGTTTAATATCTGATATGCGTGGGCCACAACAGATTACTCTCATACAACCCACCAACTGTTAAAGCAATGGAGACAGTTATGCTGCTCAAAGGCTTTTTATCCAGATAGTTTATATGGACAATGGTGACATCTTGTGGCATAATTGTGCTGATGCTCAGAATGACGGGTGTTTCACTGAGGACTTCCAGATCTTAAAAGTTGGTGTATATATTTGAGTCTCATTTATTTAGTTGACTATCCTAACATGCTGTGTTACGTTTAGGCTCAGTACTGTGTTTAAAGTAATAATAAATGTGTTAATAGCTAGGAATTCTTGAATTATGAACTGTATCTAAAACTTCACAGTGAACAGAATATTAATCTCACAATATGACAAAAGACTATACAGCATGATTTTAGTTGGAAATGAGCTATTAGCTTGAGGGGAAAAAAACTTCCAGTAAAACAGATTTCAGGGAGCCATGTGAGAAAGCAGAAAGCCAAACCTTCTGGAAATGTCATTACAGAATGAGTGATCTAGTATGTAAGGACCGGGAAACGTCCACACCCAATGTGTGCTTGAGCAAGATTGCCTCTCAAACATCTTTTTGGCATCCATCCTTTAGCTGACCGTCACACTATGGCTGTTATGTAGGCATGTATCATCAGCAAAAATACTTTAAAAATTCAACATGTTAACACATTTTAACGTCAATTTGTTTTTCATGTCACTCTGATGTTATACGTAAATATGTATGGTATATGGCATACATAATATGTCTCTTACTGATTATAATGTAAACTAATCAGCAGCATGATACTTTGACAGATGTAGACTAGAACATGATGGACTTAAGGTAAATTGTTTACTTGTGAGAAAGGGAAGACAAGTTATATAAAGGTGTGTTGCACCATTTCAAAAGCACTGTACATATACAGTCTCACATTCAAATGCAGTATCGCAGTATGGTTTTCACATGGAAGAATCCAATAGCTAATGTAAGCACATACATGCTTTTAAATATATTCATTTCAGACAGTTCATACTTTATAATTTTTTAAAAGATTTAAAATCCTATCCCGTCTAGATGTGTAAGGGGCATGTCTGAGTTGCAGCAGATGTCCAGGAAACAAGTTTCCACTGTGGGCGTACATCTCTTCCCCTTTTGAGCCCATTAGAGAGCGCAGGGTCTTGTTCCGTGTCAAGATTTTGTCATAGAACTCAAAGCCACCCTTTGCATAATCACTTGACAGACATGCTGCACGGTGGTCTGAGCTATAGTCCAACCACTGGCTCAGAGCATCAGAAGCCAGGATATAAGACACGACTCCTAAACCCACGGCAACCACATTAACACCAGCCCTGAAGATGATGGACCCAGCCTGGAGCCCAAAGATCTGCTTGAGGGCTACGCTATATATACAAGCCCATGCCAGACATGCTGGAGCCACTGCAGCGTGAAACAAGGGACCCCCAGCCCCCAGTCGGGCCACTTCTCGGGCTATAGCAAACTTCTGTGCCTCCGGAGAGAACACCAGGGAGTTTTTGAGAGCAACACCTGAATCACTGTCCCACTCCAACTCTTTGCCATTGAGGAGAATAGTGCGGTTGGTGATGCCTGATGGATCATCAGTGGTGCTGTTGAAGTTGGCTGGGATGCC